TGCATTATACAATACTATCCGTGTTGCAGATTCTCTCAATGATCAGCTTTGAAAAATTCATAAATGGTAAGGTGGTTCCAATAATAGTGCCATTTTCTATAAACACACAAAAGGAAGATGTAATACGAACAACAGATTGAAACGAAGAGATGAAAACGACTCATTCTCCTCTGTTTACTTATAGAAGACATATCTTCTGTTATTAAGATTCGCTTATCTAAACGTAAGTTCCGATAGTGGAGGGAATTGATGAATTTTTGCATGAACTACTCGAGGCTTGAGGATTCGGATGAATGGGATTCTATTATCGTCTTAACTCTAGAAACCCCAAGTCTTTAGATATACATATACTCTGTAAAGCCGAAACAAAGGTTCCTTGAGACCATACTAATTTCTTAGGAATTTTTCCTTAAAATATTGCAGTTTGCACCAAGCTTTATAACACATGCACATGTACATTATGAACCAAGTATTACATATTTTGTGAATTATATTTGAGCAGTGTGCGAGTGTGTGTGAGTTGTCTCCAAACACACGAATGTCTGAAGAAATGTAGATAATGCGGAAAAAATTTTAGACAGAAACTGCAACATACTAATGATGACACGTAATGCTATCACTTATTTGACCTTGTGATAACATTAGAAAGTTCTATAGAGGTCTCGTGTAATTTTTTATATGGAAACCTACGTCTCTTATGAAATATTCAAAACACTGCAAACGCGTGTTTGCATTTTGTACAGAATATATATTTTTAATCTATGTATAATTTATTCTATTGGAAAGAATGATTTAACGTATTTAAATTTAGCACGATGAAATTTAACGTTCTCAAATATGTGTTGTTCAGTACACGTGTGAAAGGAAAATTTTCCAATAACGAGTTAACGCATAATGGTTAATGAGTTTCGATTTTACAATTGCTAAAAATATGCAGTTGTTTGTGAGAAAGTTGCATATTGACTTTTATTCAACTAGAAGCGTAATTATGTTCATTATATCACTTGGATTATTATCATTTTGTGTACAGTATATTTGGGTTTGGTTTTAAGGACTGAAATAAATTATTCTACTACTTACATTAGCAGTTTACATTTTCTATGAAAAACTAATTTTTCAATCTTTCTGCATCTACGTGGTATTTGCCACTTCAACGCTACAGGCTTATAATTGTATATCGTCATTAGGTCGATCTTGGTTGGCGACGATTAGTGACGGACGGTTCATTCAGGAAGCTTATAAAACCACCGACAGAACAGTCACAAAGAGAGTTCTACTAAAATACAGTCCACTTAACACTTCGAAGCTAGACACAACCTTCCTCAATGAACCTTTCTCAATGAACCGTCCTCAATGAACCTATAGTGTACTTACAAAAATATTGATTCTTAACAAAAGTTCGATATTAAATTATTAAGATATTATTAAGATATTAAATTATTAACCAAATTACGCAAAATCTCATTTACCTTTAACGTCGAAGATCTTAATCACACAAATTAATTTTTAAGATGATTATTATCGCACACTGATATTCTCTTTCATAATAATAAATTCAAAGACATACTGCCAAATTAAAACTCATACTTTACGCTCTT